GTTTAATATTAAATACTCTTTCATTCTAAAACATTTTACTGAAAACTTCTTAGAAAAAGTGGTTCTTTGATTTGTGCAGGTGGACGTATAAAACAGAAGAGGAACTGGATGGCTCGAGCCACTGGGGTCAGCTGACGACTTACAGTGGCGCAGGTTATGTCCAGGAGCTGGTCGGGAACAACTACACCTCAGCGAAGGCGCTGGTTGACCACCTGTTTAATGAGCGATGGATAGACCGAGGCACAAGGGCTGTCTTTATCGACTTCACTGTCTACAACGCCAACATCAACCTCTTCTGTGTCGTAAGGTGATTATCTTTCATATCCATCCATTTATATTTAAAACATTAATCTCCTGTCTTGGAAGAAATGAGGTTGAAACCTTAAACATCATCAAAAAGAAACAACAAGTTACAACAGGAAAAAAACACTTTACAAATGAAAATGTCTGATGAAAAAACTTCATAAGAGAATAGTGGTGAGAACAGTGGTGCTGTATGTAGGTTTTGTTTGACAGGTTCCTTGTTGAGTTCCCGGCAACAGGTGGCGCCATCCCCTCCTGGACATTCCGAACTGTGAAGCTGATCCGCTACGTGACTGTTCAGGATTACTTCATCATGGCTTGTGAATGCATCTTTGTCCTCTTCATTGTTTACTACATTGTAGAGGAATCCCTTGAGGTATGCTTGAGTTTTTTTTCTCTCAAAAATTGAGAGTCAAAATTACTGTTCAATTATAAGTGTTAACAAGATATGTTTAAGAAATTTGTATTCTAGATTTGAACTTTATTTATAAATTAATTGGAAATTTACTGTAACTTCTACTTTTAACAGATCAAGAAGCACAAACTGTCCTACTTCAAGAACGTGTGGAACATCCTTGACATACTGGTGATCCTGTTAGCCATCCTTTGTGTTGCGTTTGATGTATATCGGACAGTGGAAGTGGACAACAAGCTAAGTGTACTACTGGAGAATCCAGACAAATTCGCAGACTTTGAGTTCCTCAGCTACTGGCAGACCAGATTCGACAATGCGATTGCCATAGCAGTCTTCCTGGCCTGGATCAAGGTTTGTTTTAGGTTTGGAATGCTAAACCTTTTAACACTCGCCTGCTCCAAGAACAGAGCAAAATGATAGTTGAATGCATAAAGAAATGCTTATTA